GATCGAATGGACAGTGTTAAGCCGAAAGGAACCAAGCCACATCAGCTATTGCCAAATTCTAGGAGGCAATTAAATTTCTTCATGAAAACGGTTGTGCGGATTTTTGTGGAAATTTCAGTGACTTTTTTGCATAATACGAGGCAAATTCCTCACAATTTTCAGTGGAATTCGCACAAACGTTCTCCTGTAAAAAATTAAATTGCCCGGTTAAGTTTGACAATAGCTGATGTGGCTTGGTTTCTTTCTGCTGAATGCAGTCCAAATGTCTATGTACAATATTTGAAACAACCTATCCAGGAAAATATAAAACAACGGAAGGTTTTTGCGATACTTCACACTCTCTTTTTTTGGGACGTCAAAAAAGGCAAAAATCCCCATTACTTAGCACCTTGAAACTACGAAGAAGGGCTTTTGCCGTATTATGCATATTTTATATCATTGAAAAAGTATCTTAAGGAAGGCGGAGTTCCGTACAAACAAAAGTTTAATTTAAGTTAAAAAAGTTAAAATTACGCCGTAAAGAGTAAATTTTTATGAGGAATGACTGCAGGCCAAAATTTCGGAGAGAGTATGCTTTTGCTTTTACCAAGAAGACTTCGAATAATCTCTCCTCGTCAACTCTTTCTCTTGCAGCGACTAATACAGTGAACGAAAAATGTTACCCGACTCTCTGACCCGGTAACACATGTTCTCAGGGAAACATAAAATAAAAATTTCATGAATCTGACAACCAATACAGACAGTCGTCCAGCACTGCGGAGTGGTAAAATTGTTAATTAGCGTTAATGAGCCTCCTCTTCCTTCACGGGGCAAAAAACAACTCATCGCAGCGAGACAATAACTCAACGATTTCCGCAGCGAAAAAAAAGTCCGCATTTTCGATTATTATCTAACTATTTTCTTTTATTGGCTCGGCATTGCACGGGAGTCATCGGTTTTGTAGCGGCACAATGTGCGTCTCCGCGAATTCCACGCGCAACTGAAGATTATTAAATTAGTCCCGAGCTACGGGTCGAGTCCTTTTTCTGCTAAGCTCAAGTGAACACGTTTATGCTAAAAGGACCTATGTGCATAGGGATTGCGTGTGACATAGTTCCTTTTAGCATAAAGACGTCCGAGTGATATATTCTACCACTAATTTCTCACGCACTCATAAACCATGTTAGCGACCGGACTCCGCCGCGATGGGAAATGAGACGGGCAGAGAGCGGGGTGGAAACAATTTCTAAGTTTCCGTAAACGGACTCAAAATATGATTGAGAGCGTGCAAGGAAAAAATGAGTGGAAGACGGGAAAATATATAAATAACAGGGAGGACAGACTCATCCGAGTCTAGGATCCACTCATCAGGACGGACTCCTTATTTCGAGCTGGTTTTTTTTAGAGACAATAATAATTGATGATGTCCGTTGACACATACTGGAGCTCTATCTGTCTGAGTTGGTGATCTGGTTCTGAGGTTAGGCAATAACCAGTTATAGTTATAGATATGTCTTGCACTCTTTTCGGTGCGACTAGTCACTGGTCACGGGACTACTACTTCGCGATGTTGCCGCTCGACCGAATTTTTCGTGTAGTTTGGAGATTTTTCACCTGAGAAGTCTAGCTGCCTCATTAACGTTCACTGTGTTAGAATGAAGATACTGAGCACAAATTTTGCCGTGAAAATTACAAAACGAATCCCAAAATTCAGCAGAACTTTTCTGATCAACGTGCTGGAGAGAATTTCTCTCATGCGTTCAATTTTTATTCTCTGTTGAGCTCATCAGCTTTTCCGACGGTCTTCAATGATGATTGATGCTTCTCGGAAAAAAGAAAAAATGATATCGACTTTTTATATTTTTGGGTCTAATTTCACTAGTTTCGAGCAAAAATTTAAACAACTTCAGCTAAAAAAATCCATGATGCCAAAATGTATGGTTGTCTGCGGTTCCTAAGAGATTGGAAAAATTTACTTTGGTCCCTTCTCATCCTACATGCATCGAACCAGTGGTGTGGCGTGGCGTGTTTTGCGATCCATCGATTGATCCGCCATTTAAACCTATGGAAAAGTATCGATTAACAGGGTGTTCGCAACGAACACCTTAATAATCGATTCTTTACCATAGCATCAAATGGGGAAATATCGATAATCGATTATTCACGCCTCATCATTGCATCGAATGCATTAATTAGCTCCGAACTATTATGATATTTTGCACAGTTTGACACTGCAGATGGCGGCATACTGTTGTCAAGGGATATATATGTCATCACCTCACCTTTCGGTCGGCAATCAGCTCCTTTTTAACCTAGCGCGACGGATCGAATTCAGTCGTCGCCGTCGTCATGTCAGAGCATCGCCCCCCCCCCCTTTCTGCGGGTCTTCGCGACTTTTGTCACCTGTATGGAAAGAGAAAAGAGTCTGGAGCCATCTATCAGTTGTCTGGTTCGAGGTTCGGCTCGCCGTCTGACGCCACATTCATTTAGGGAAAGTGGAAAATCGGGAGAGGTAGGGAAAAGGGGAAAAAATCGAGATTTTAAGTGGTGATCGGCAAAAGGTAACACAAAACCTGTTGGAAACCGTCTGGCACCAGGGATAAAATCTGGTGTTTGGTTCTGGGCTCTAGACAATCCCAGACGGGTTCTTGGGTTTTGGATAAAAGGAGTCAAATGAAAAGAGCCCGATGGACTAGTTTTTGAATCCTTGTGACCATGTGACCTACGATATCCACACTGGTAAAAAAAAACCCCTTGGACCAATGCCGCATTGCATTATGACTTAAAAGTGCAGTTGCTTGTCGCCAGATTTAAGAGTCTTGAACTCTTGTTTCAAGCAGATTTTGCATTGATTCAAGCGGATTTTGCATTGAAACAAGAGTCCAGACTCTTAAATCCGGCGACAAGAAACTGCACTCTTGAACCAAGAGGTTTTTTTTACCAGTGCACCACTGTGTTGTGCTTCTGCAAAGTCTGTGTCTTTGAGGAGCAATTCGTATAGTAATATACGAATGGATGCGCAGAATCGATCCATGATGTGTGGAAACATTAATATAAAGCAGTATGGCAGTAAATTTGTGAAGTTTATCAAACTTCATAAAAGAGGGAGAAATATTTCCGCACAAGTTAAGATATTAAAACGAATTTAAAATTGTTTCAAAAAAAGTTTAAATTAGTTTTACCTCTTAAAAATTAACATCGAGAATCAGGAAAATGGATGTTATCAACTGACTCAATGTATCAAAAAGCTATAACATAACACTCTCTTACTATGTATCATAAGCAGTTCCACAAATTCGTTGTCATACACCTTTGTGTTAATGGAGCCACTCGTTATTGCTCACGATGATTCACTGGAAAAAAAAAAACTTATTGGATCTAGAGTTCAGACTCTTAAAAACATCGACAAGAAAAAGTACTCTTGATTCAATCAGAATCTGGCTTAAATCAAGAACCAAGCCTCCTAATTGAAGCGGATTTCGTTTTGATTCAAGCAAAACTCCGACTGAATCAAGAGTATTTTTTCTTGTCAATGTTTTCAAGAGTCTGGACTCCAGATCCAATGTGTTTTTTTTTCCAGTGTTCCTGATGCAATCCTTCCCTTCAGAAATGATTCCCTTTCAGAGAGCCGAGTGTGCCTGATTCTTCTAATTACAGTAGAAAGTAGAAAACACAAATACATCATGTTAAAGTGTCTAACATAATAATGTCGTCGTTCCGCAGACGAAAGAGTGTAACACTATTTCAACATTGCAGAATTTCCACTCCAGCAAAGCTTGCTTTTACATGGGTAAAAAGAACTGCCGAGCACTCTTAACTAAAAAGTTTAGTGGTTTTTCTTCTGATTATACGCAAAAATCAGGAAGATTTTGGACAAAAATCGCACGGTCACATTCCTGTATGAAATTGAATTGTTTGAGGCAGTTTTGTAACTTTGGAGGGATGTCACGTTCTTCGAATACTGTGTTGGGAATTGAGGATATGAAAGAGAAAAAAATAGGATTACCTCCTTCGAATATAAAAAACCCGTTTGACAACGGTGCAAATAACGCGGTGATTGAAATACAGTCAAGCAAATAGAAAAACAGTGAAACGATTGTCTTTTAAGTTGGTAAAGCCTCCCTCAACCTCATTTATGTCCTCGGCTGGGTGCCAGCACACTTGCCTGATTTCACTTCGAAAGGACATTTCCAATAGGATTTGACTCGGAAAAGTCGACTTCCCGCCCAAACAGTCAAACGGTCCGACCAGGAGCTCAACCCCTCAAGAACCTGGAGCGGTCGCGGTAAGTAGCTTATCATAAATAAAAAATACTCATCTCCCACTCTCGTGGCTTTATTCACGCTCAGATTATGCAAGGTTTAATGTTGAAGCGGTGGCGGTCGAGTTCGATCCGCTTGCGTCCTTTCAGAGAAACTAATGCCCTGTTTACACCATCATCCTCAGTTCACACTGAAGAAAAAATCTGGGTGTATTTACTAAGAAAAGGATAAAATTACCAACAATTCAGGGTTCTATTTGATCCCAGTTTTTTCCTGGTAATTTACCATTTATGGAATTGGCAATTTTACCGAAAAATCTCGGTAAAATTATTGACTTTCTCGGTAATTTTACTGGACCCCGGTAAAAAAACGCCAATATTTTTTATCGACTGTGGTAGAATTACCGAGATAAAATGGCAGTTACCGGGAATTGATTACCAATAAGAGTGGTATTCTTACCTGAAAAGAACAGTAAAAATACCGGTTTTTAGGTAAGCTTACCAGTCTATCTTGGTAAAATTACCAATAATTGATAAAAAAAAGGGATATATGGTAAAGGTACCAACGGACCTTGGCAAAAATGCCGAGAATTTTTTTCAATGCAACTTCAGATTCTTTTGAATCTAAAATGAGACTGTTGGTTTTTCATCTTCGGTCAGCGTCAACAGCGTCTTCATAAGCGTCATCTTTAGTCAAATGCCGGTAAAATAAAAGATGCTGAGAGAATAAAATGAAAAGTAAGAGAAATTGTTGACTTACCAAAGGCGAATAAAAGGCAGAACTATCTATACTAGGGTAGGGGTTTTGATCCGTGGAGGGGTACGGGGTGCCGTAAACAGCGGGCGTGGAGGCGGAGAGCCTGGGGTAGGAAGGAAGAGCTAGTTGACACGAGCAGACGGTTTGCCCGGAGACGGGGTCGGTCATGATGGGGCGCCCATTCTCGCAACAGGAGTTGCTGGCCGAGCCCGAGGGGGACACCGCCCCCGTGGATACACCACTCCCGGCACCTGCGCCCGCCGGAGGGGACACCGAGCTCCCGGGCTGCCCCGACACCAGCAGCTGAAACAAACAGTAATCTCCCTGTTAAATCATATTAGCACACAATCAAATAAACACATCCCATTATCAACCTCCATTCAAATTAAAAGATAGCGCATCATCAGAACTGCCGTGCTAAGGAAGAACGCCGTATGGACATTCGAGAGTTGCCAAATTTCCCTTGATAAAACATGTATTTTTGACGACATTCACGGACATTTTTATTTGAAAATTTCAGGTATGTTAGGTTAAATTGCGTACGAAATTGTCGGAAAATTTTGTGAAAAAATATTCACGATTTTTCCTGGAAATTCGGTTTCTGTCGAAGGAAATTTGGCAACGTCTGAAGGTTCATACGGCGTTCTTCCTTGGCACGGCAGAGAAGCGGCCTGCGAGAACAACCCTCTTCACATTTCGCAACCGTTTACGCCTTCCTGTCATAATATGGAGTCCTTCATAAAATACGTCCACTAAAAAAAAAAACTTCGGCTGTGAAAGCCGTGCTTACGGGGTATATAGACCTACCGTCCGCGTTCCGGGCTCAGAGGCCGAAAGTTCCGGGCGTAGCACCCGGGACAACCGAAGCTACGGCTCCACCACCCGGAACTTTCGGCTTCGGAGACCGGAACGGACGGTATGTCTGTATAGCTCGTAACTTAATTTTTACCGCTGGTTGTGTCGACTACCCTATTTTTTTCCGTGTATCCCACCTGAGCTGTGATCCCCCACAGTGGCGAGGCGTGATCGATCCTCGATATTATCCCATTTGAAGCTATGGTAAAGAATCGATTATTAAGGTGTTCGTTGCAAACACCCTGTGTATCGATCCTTTTCTACAGGTTTAAATGGCATAACAATCGATACATCGCGAAGGACACCGCGCCATTGCTGCCCGATTTTTGAAACTATGTCGGCCCGACACGACAGGACATAGCCTTATCTTAAGCATGCAAGGTCCTAAAAACATGGTTTTGGGCAATTTTACCATCTTGACCCCAACCACCCCCCCCCTCCAGCCCCATAAAACCCATTTTTCGGGGAATTTTAAGGTATTTTCACGTTTTATTTCATATCTCCCGCAATTTTCAATAAAAATGCACCAAAATTTCACCAATTACACATCAGACCAGTCAGATTCTTGGGTAAAAAAATCTATATCGCAATTCGATATCTTATCGGGCTGCTTTAAACTTCAATGATCAGCCCGCTAGTCTCGCAAGGATACGAAAAACGAAACCCAAACCTCGAGATTGCCGAAAAATCCTCGCTGGGTATAAAGGGACACTGTCGATTGTGAAGGGGGAAACGGAGGGAGCCGCAGCGCTGGAGAGCTCCTAACCTCTGGAGTGGAGGGTCCGATGAGAATAGCGAGGAGTGCGGGCATACCGAAGTGCGCGTGGAATATTTATGTTTTCTTTTCATCTCGGCTCCCATTTATTCCTGCCACAATTTTTCACCGCACGGCATTCCGGGCCGACGCCGCGCCGCGCCGCGCCGCGCCGGCAGCTGAAATTCGCGACAGTCCCAATTTTTCAGCCCCGATTACCCGCTTCGTTACAACTCGTCTCAATTAAGGCTGAATTAAGAGGCGTGCAGCGGTCGCAATGACGCCCCGCGCCTCGCACAGTGGATCAAGTCAACGAGACCTCGGATATGAGTTTTCTTGCTTAAACCCACACATTTAAATGTCTAATTCGTCAAATTTCAAATTTAAATGAGCGCATCTAGTAGAAATTTTAACAACAAAACCGATGGAACCATTTTTAACACCTCAAAATTTTGCATGAACGGAATTATAAGCGTTTAAAGTCTCCAAATTTTGTCCGATTTTCCCAAATGACCTATTCCATTGTGCGAGGTGGTATTGGCATGAGGGGCTTCAGTGCTTCGCTCCACGCGCTCGCTCAGCTCTTGTTTGCGCCTGAACACTCTGCAATCTCAGATTAGTTTCAATCTTTCAGCTCCAACGCCGCATCACAATTATTAGGCCCGAAATTAGTTCCTCGGCCCTGCTTTCGACACCGCTGTTATTATTGCTCTTGCATGTGTTTTCGTTTCGTCGGCCTATAAATAGTTCCACGTATTAACCGCAATTTTAGGTTCGCTACCAGAGTGAACGTGGTTAACACGCAGACGGATGTCGCGTTTAAGCGGTAATTTTTTCCTGCACTATCAGAAAGCTCGGAGTAAATTTAACTTAGAAGCCATTTTTGCTCTCAAAAATCTGATTGAATTAGTGGTGAAATTCGCTCCCTTACGTTGAGCAAAGTTAGCTTTCCTCAGCCCTCATATCACTCCATTTTGGTTGACAGAATAGAATATGTGGGCTGATTATTGAAATAGATGTACCAAGAAACATGAAGTCACTCTGTTGGTCGAAAAGGGTGATTGTTATAGACTATGGGCATTTTTGGAGAAAGTTATGACTATTGTTTTTAGAAATATTTCCGACACTTTAGACCTAGTTACGAATAAAATTCTATGTGAAATTGGGGGAAGGGGTAATGCTTACAAAAGCATATGCCTGACTAATTTTGGCGCTTGCTGGAAAAAGCTCTTTTGGACATTTTTTCAAGTGCAAACGCTCGAGAAAAAATAGAATAAGGCGCCAGAAAGACAACGGCGAATATTTAATTGATGTACTTGGCAACGTTGCTGCGTCGCGACGTTCGCCGCGGCCGATAAAGTCGCCGAGACGTCGCTGGTCTTTCGTTTTTATTGCGTGACGTGAGTCCCAGATAAGACGCCCAGGACGACATTAAAAACCAAAACAAATAATTAATTAGCTCATAAAAATCTTGTTCCAGATTACCGGGGATAAATTTAATTGATTAAAAGGGAAGAGACCGAATTCGAGGAGTCTGGTACGCTTTTACGCTTGGGACTACTGTTCAGTTCCGTTGTTGGATGATGCAGTTTCGAGAAAATTGGAACAGGAACGGAGGAGGAAAGAGGATGAAAGATAATAAGCACGTCAATTAGTAAAAAATATAAAAATACGCTCCGAGCGTTACAAAAATTACAAGCAGTAGGGAGTTTTTTCAGACAATTTCAGAGTTATATTTAAAAAAGAGAAAAAATTGCCGGTTAGAATTTCGCTTGAAAATTCAATTTTTCGATTTTTGGAGGTGGGCAGCCAAATTCTTTTCAAACAACTGGATTGGGGCATCAATAATCGACGCGTCTTGCTGGTCCTTGCAAATGACTAGACAGCGGCGATTCTTAAAAGCTGGCTACACGGTTTCTTCCTTTCTTTAAATCCATAAAAAATATCGATTTTAGGTGAGGCAAGCTGCCTCGCCAAGAACCGCTTGTTTCACTCACAAGTAAATGGAGGAAAAGTGTTGCAAACTCTCAAGAATCGCCACTGTGGCTTGCAACTTTTCTAATACACTAGCAAACACTAGCAAGCTACTAGGAATTTGTAATGTGACCTTGTAATTGCTTAAGCAATTAACTTTGCCTGCGGGCTGATTGTTAAAATCGATAGACGAAGCTATAGACAAAAAAGACAAAAGGGGTATGGAGGGTTCCTATTGGGGGAAGCTGATGGTTGCGATGGACAAAGAAGGTGGGTAGACAAAGTATCGGCAACCCACGAGAGGCCCAGTTAGTCCATCATTTACCCCCTTAGTCTATTAGAACCACGCAAAGTAACCAATAGGATCTCTCTATGCTCATTTTGTCCTCTTTGTCTATACCTTTGTCTATCAATTTCGACAATCAGCCCACTGCTATCTTCGCGGGGGCCTTCCTCCCCATCAACTCTACTTCCGAGCCTGCGAAACATCTGACCAGTGACGAGAGGATCCGATACAAAACTCGGTCTTGTCCGGGGATCATTTTCCGCGCTTCAACGTTCATGTCACGCATGGGGCTCGCGGATCCACGAATCGGGGAGTAAATCTCGTAACAATAAAACTCGGTCATTAAATTAGGTGAGAGGGGGTTATCCTGCCCGGTGGCGGCCCCGCCCCGCCCACTCGGCGGCGCGTGAGGCGAATTTCGGGCGCACCGAGGAACGGCAAATAGAAACTCGACGGGCGTATCAACATGAAAGCGCGCTCGACGATAACCCGATATCACGACCGAAACTCCGACTTGTACCCCACCCCCTTCCCCAAAGGGGGGG